AAAGTTGAACACTGGGAAATTGTTACACATGTTGCAGCTGATGTCAAAAGAAATAAAAATGGAAGAAAAACATAAATGAGAAACAAAAAGCAAATTTAATTTACAATGTCAAAAGTAATTATAGAAATCGAGCTGAAATTCGGTTTTGTATATTTCTTGTAAATTGTATAATATATATTTATAATGACTCACATTGCTTTTTTGTGGTTGTCGTTTACTTTAAGATCTCTGTCTGGCAAGTGGGCGTATGCGTAATATTCCTAATCGCCTTTAATTGACAATACAATGTAACCGATTAAATAGCTAATAGTTGGTGTCGCTCTTTGTGCACGGCAAAACACACGCACACACACACACAAATATATATGTACACAGTCACGCGCCAAACGCACACACTAATACACACGCACCTACATATACATACATATACTGTGATTTATATAACACAATGCTTTGCTCCCGTCAATTGGCTATTGAATTGTTTAAAAACTGAATTGAAAATGTATGCTTAACAGAAAAAAGATGTAATTTTTATACATTCGAATCAGCCATTTTTTTATTTTTATTTTTTCTTTTTGTTTGTTCAGTTTGTTTTTGCTCGGTATAATTTTTCTTGTTGCTGCGCACGTTTTCTGTTTGCCTAAACTTGCACGCTCAACTGTTCACGAAGTACTGTGCTAACGGTATTTGCTTGCCAATCAAAAGAGAGAGACACGCACACAGAAGAGCATACATGAAGAAGGATTGGTTGAACTGACAAGGGCAAACGCTCTCTCATCAATTGGGTATGTTAACTGGAACAGCTTCTGTTACGTTAATGCTAACAGTGCTGCTCTTGCTGTTAACAATTTTATCGCAAATAAATATAAGCAAAATTTTAATTTTAAATGAAAAATTGTCAATTTATATATCAGCACGAAAAATTATTTTCGAAAATAGACAAGATTTTCTATATTAAAAATATTTAAGTTCAGTCTTTTAATTAATTTCTAAAGCTATTTTTATCTATTTATATGCATTTAAGTTTTTCATAAGTTAATTCTAGGTTTCGCTGGCCTTTATGATTTATGATTGAAAACTTTTGCTTTCGCTGACATTAACAGTGTTCTGTAAACTTCAAAACCACAAAATGTTTGCCGTTGTTGCAGTTCCAAAACTTTCACTATCAACAATCGACAAGTGTACATGTATGTTTGTATATGTGTGTACGCGTTCTCTCGCCCTTTCTCTCTGTCTTTGCGCTATGTGCTTTGGATTCATGTTTTTATTATTGCTGCGCTTGGCTTGGACTTGGGAACGGCTATAGAATCCTGCGCACTCTCGCTGAGAGCGGCGTCATCAGTTGTTGTTGCTATTGTAGCTATTATGGTTGCTGTTGTTGTTATGGGCAGGCCTTTTTGGCCCACATAGGGGCTTGTTTTCGGTTTTCAATGTTAAGTGCGATGAGAGGCCTGCTTCAATGGGCAACAGCCAAAAGGATAGAGGCAAGACGAAGGGAAGGCCAAACGCACACGACGACTCCCACGCAAATGGCTGGCTGCTAAATCGCTGAAGCCTCTGTCACTCACCAAGCATGAAACACACACACAATCAGCGTAGCGCAATTATTTATTATAGAATACATATGTCTCGACATTTTGTGCCATTGTACATTGAAATTGGCCAAAATTGATTTGCTGCCAATTACAATCTCACGCACACTTGCAGCTAAAAGTTGTTCGCGAAAAGTGTTTAATGGTTGGTTAAGGCTGACTTGTTAAGGCATAGGTTAATAAGCACAGTAGTCTGCGTAAATATTCAAATATTTTGAAGATATGAAAACAAATTACATTTAATTTCTTTAATTACAATTTATAAGAACTGTTGAGCCGCGACCCCAACGAGCCAAATGCTTGTTGGGTTATCGCAGTTTATGTAACGTGCGTTTGTTTCTATTTCAATTTTTGTTGTCACTTGCAATTTTGATTCTGAAGGTTCAACGGACAAGTTAACCCACGCGTGTGTCTGCCATCACGCGTGTGTGTGAGAGTGCGAATGTGTGTGTCTGTGTGAGCCGGAGAGTTTGTTTTGTAACCGTTTTGTTGCTCTTTGTGATAGAATTTCTCGCTTTGACCTTGTAGGCGCGTTTGTATGTACAGTTATTTATGCCTATAGCTGCGATTGTAATTGTTGCTGTTGTCGTTGTTGTCTTGACACGTGGCCGCGTTAATTAAAATTTTCTTTGCGCTTAATTGAGCAGCCTTCAACTCGTATTCGTATTGGTCAAAAGGATGAACCAGCGGATATTCTCATTAGCCTTGGACAAGGTTAATAAAGTAAATTGACCCTAGCAAGTATATATATATACATACATATACATGTAAATGTATAAATATATATACAAGCGAGTTTTGTTTGAGTAGAAATATTTTAAAGTTTAGCTTAGAAAACAAAAGATATAAAAAAATTGTGTAAAACTAATATTGTTAAATATAGTGCTTAAGCTGATCGTTTATAAGACTTGCTTATTCCAAATAAGTTTTTAATATCCCGCTGCCTTTATTTACATACATTTGCTTTAAAAAAGAAGCAGTCCAGCGCACAAAAGGAGGCAACACTTTTTTTATTGCTCAGTCATGCAGGCGTGCGTATGCGAGGCGGGCACGTGTGCGTGTGTGTGTGTGTATGCGAAATAAATAGCAAGAAAGGGATAGAGAGGGAGAGAGTGTGTGTGTTTAAGGGAGATAGGGACATACATATATGGCTAGTCACGCCCACACTTGTGCATAATATTATAATATTTTGTTGCCCATGGCACAGAACACAGTACGAACAAAACATACGTCAGTCCGTCAGTTTGTCAAGTCAGTCGGAATTTTTAACTGCGCGTCAGCGACGAAGGCTTTGAAGGCTGGCCCGCACCCGCTGATAAACAAGAATCGATAAAGCCAAACGAGATGTTTTGGCCAAAACATACACACACAAGCAACAACACATGTTCACTATGAGAAGCTGTCAATAAAATCGAGCTATTATAAGAGTTTAGTTTGATAGCAACTGAAGCATAAGCAAATATGTCAATTCCAATTATATATACAATATAAGAACTTTGTTCGAGTATGTTCGACTAGCAGTCAAAATATTTAGTTACATTTATTCATTCAAACTAAGGCCACTATTTGACTTAAAGATGCTCTCTAGTTACTTTCTTTTAGTTAAAACTAGAAACAAAGCGTTCAATAATGAAATTCAATCGACATAACTGTACAAATATAATAAATAAAACCAAAATTCCAGATTATTTTAAACAGTTTTCTATATATTTTAAACAGTTTAAATATATAAAATAAAATGAAAAGAGGATAGTTGGTTACTGATAAAAAAAACCCTGAATACCCATTTTCAGAGTGAAAAACTAGTTGCTACTTCTATAGTCTTCCGAATTGAAATTAAATATATATAATAGAACGAATAGGTAAAAATAATAATTTGCAAACGTGTTGTATACGTGTACATTGCCTTTTCTAGCTTCAATTTAAGGCTATACAAATTATACGCCAAGGACTCTCTGTTTTTCTGCTTGACATAATTTCTTGTTTAGTAATCCTAAAGCTGATCTTTATTAGCACTAATTCCGCGAATATCTCAGATAAGTTATCTTTTATTTTTGAATGGGCTACAGTTGTTTGAATAACGCAATTCTCGCGATTTAATGTCTAAATGGTTACAAGGACAATGCGATTATGCGAAATCTTTGAATACGTTCATAGCTAGAGGCTGCTGCTGCTGCTGCTGTTGGCATATGACCTTAGTAAGCCTGCTGACTGACGGGATGTGCATACAAAGCATTTGACTAAGCTCTAAACAAAAGAAACTAAACAACAGACCAGCCAACCAGCCAAGCAGCCAACCAGCTAATGGGCACGAATTTCCATATCTATAGACAGAAGTAACCTTCGTTGTTATGCACGGCAATGCAACAAAAATTCTGAACATAAATATATCTCAGCTAAATTTCCAGTTAAGCTATGCAAAAATAAATATATAAGAAGAACTGTGGTTCGAGTAGTATTATCTAATTGATAGTTTCAGAGCGTAGTTATGATATTTATAAGCAAAAATTCAAAATTCATATTAATAATACTATTCAATATGGGAAGTTGCATCACGAATTTAGAATCTCTAGTTTTAATGGTCTTCAAGTTACGTTTAAAAACGCACATCAACATATCAATTTTTATCGATAGTCAGCAAATGTGATGAGTTATTGAAAGGATCAGCTTTCACATATGAACATATATCAATTTCAAACTTTAAATCTTGTAAGCTTACGAGGCCGCTGCGACCATGGCTAGACTTAATAAGTTATGACACGCCCACTTCAGTCTGCTATATACAGTTTAAAAAAGCACTATCTATTTCTTGTTTTGTTTTATCATCTTCCTATTGATATTGAGCTGCTAGAGGGTACAATAAAATTTACTTTCAAAAAAAGATAGATACAAAAAAAATATATATATAAATATATATATATATATATATATATATATATATATATATATGTACTGGTATATTAATATAATTAATGTTTACTCTATGAGTAGGCAAACAGCTGCTAATCATTAAAAAGTAAATTTGTTAAAAGTGCAAACAAATAACTGTTAAGGGCTTACAGCTGTCAAAAGCCCGTAATAAAACTGTCTGTGTACAAAAGCGCGCGCTAAAACACACATACACATATGCAGCTTTGCATGTATGCATGTGTGTACGTTAATATGCAATCAAATGCATACTCACATTATAAGAGGCGTAATTCACAATTAGTTGATCGTCTAACACACAACTTTGCCGTAATAGTGTTGAACGTAATAATTACAACGATAATGAGCAAATAAATAAGGTTATTTTCACGTTTTGCGATAGACTACTGGCTTGCGCTTGACGCGACGAAGCCACAAAACGAACTAAAATAATCAACGCCTGCTCCGGCAGTGTTAAGAAACGCAATAAAAATAGCTCAGTTTTTTGCACAAATTGAATTGTTCTTTTTAATGCAAGCAAACTGGTTCGCTTCACATAAATTCAGCTAAGTTATAAGTTAAACAACTAATAGTAAAAAGTTTGTCATGGATCTCTGACTACAGTTCCGTGTGAGCATATTCTGTGGACTCCTTGTCCTTGGGCACGATATAGAGGCCCTCAGAGGTAGTCCAACGTGTACCGTGTTGTGGACTGTGCAGACCCACTATTTCCATTTGCCCAGAAATTGGCCGACCATACGACCGTCCCGACATGCCCAGATACATGCCAGTATCAACGTGTTGCAATCTAATATGAGCATCACGCATCCAGATGTTATTGGAGCAAATCACTTCCCAGTTATCGCCAGTATCACCAACTCCGTCGACACCATAGGCGGATACCTCTTGTTCGCCGGATAGTGGGGATGAAAAATGATGCGAATGCAGATTCTTCTTTGTGGTCAAGTGTTCCAATCGAATTGTCGTTCCACAAGCAATGGGTTCACCACGATCGCATAGTTTCTTAGTTTGTGCCTTGATCATCCAATGGCTGTTCACATCCTCCTTTTGTTCTACACCGGTCACCGATTGCTGTCCCGATCCAGAACCGTATTTAACATCGTGCGAGTGTAAGCGATACGAATAATCCGAGTTGAGCAATTTCAGTATGGAGCCACATGTCACATAGTTGGTCTGTGCAGCTAAAAGAAATCGTGGTTGGCGTTGTTGTTGTATTTATAATTGTATTGATAGGAAACTGAAAATTGTGCTTTGTGGGGCGGAAAGGGCTTCGTGGCCAATCACAGCAGCCCACATAAACGCAACAGAATATACATACCATTGTGGTTGGGTAAATAACTAATCAGCGCTAAAGCAACGAAGAGCAGTGTGTGCAGCATCCTGTCTTTTTTCTTACGTTAACAATTAAGTACTTAATCTAATATTCAGAATGTACAATGTTAGAAATGCCGATTGCGGCGAAAATAAGCACACGCAAACAAATGATTTTGACAGATTGTGTTAGTGTTGGTAAGCGAACGATAAAGGTGTGTTCAATGAACTGACTCCAAAACCTTGAACAACAGAACAGCTGTGGCCAATTATTAACAATTACGTTCCGTGTATCCAAAAATTAAAAGCCATATTTTTTATCATAGTATTAATTTGCTGAAAAATTTGACATTTTAATTAAGCAACAAGTATTGGTACAAAAGATATTAAATCTACGTTGCAAGGAGTTAATTGACATAAAAATGTAATAGCAGAAGAGCTGCGGCACACATTACCAATTGAGTAGCACTTATCGATAGGCGATAGAAGATATTTTGTGTCGCTGCAAATATTGCATTATTTTTCTGTGAAAATAAGAAAAATTTCATTGAAGCAGAAATTAATGGCACATAAGCGCTTATTCATCTACGCTGTATTATTAGCGATATGTTATTTAGTTGGCGTGACATGGGTAAGTTGTTAAAACACAATACTACGCCGTAACCGAAATGACGATTGTGTTTGTTTTATTTTTCAACAAAGGCTGAGACAGCAACGCAAACACTGCCCAGTAGCAGTAGTAACAACAGCAACAGCGCTAACAATAATGTCAGTCCACCAAATTCGCCTGCCAAATCGCCAGCGGTTTCGCCAGCACCAACAATTGCAACGCTGAAAACTATAAGCAGCACAGTAACGAGCACCAATACAAGCAGCAGTTCACATGAATGGTTTGTATACTCTTTATATACATGAAATGTCATGCATTATTGCTAAATGTTGTCATATGCTTAGTACCTGTGCCGGAGCTCTAGTGCCACAATTGGATGCCAATGGCAAGGAGCTTCCCACGTGCGAGAAATGTAAATGCTCATCTGTCGGACGCAATTCCACACTAATAAAGGTGTGCATACACATTTTATATTGTCCTGGCCCAATATTTTTCTAACTATTTCTTTGTTAGGTGGTCGTCATCATTGTGATTTGGATAATATCCATATTAGTGATATATATGCTCTTCCTTATGTGCTTGGATCCGCTGTTAAATAAACGCGTCAAGGCGAACAACTATCAGGAGCACACCAATGAAGATGTATATAACAATTATTCTAAATATGCAGGCATAAAATATAGCCAACTAGTTGCCATTCCTGATGAAGATGATGATCATGATCATTATCGTGATCATGATGATGATGATGATGAGGCGCAGCTAGTTGGCAATAAAGAAGCACATAACGTTTGATGTCCTTGACCAAACGATTTATATATCTTTTTGTTTTATTTTATTTAATATTTTTCAATTTGCACGCTCTAACCCAAGCTTTTTGATGTGTCTATTAATTAACCCATTAACCGGCCTTAACTAATACGCTTCAAATTTTCCTTTTTTTTCTGCTGCGGCTGATAGGACGAACCAGCACCGCCTCTGCCAGCTAGCGCCAACAATCAAGAGCTGAGTGCTCGAGCCAATGTTCTCAATCGCGTTGGCCATCAGCAGGACAAATGGAAACGCCAAGTGCGTGAGCAAAGGCGTCATATCTACGATCGGCATACCATGTTAAATTGATTGCCCAACAGAAGCCGTAGGCGTTGGCGACTTAAAGACACATGTTGTATTCCTGCAGCAATTATTAACAATTATTGTTTGAATTTGTCTCTCATTGGATCAAAATTAATTTAAATATTATTTAGCAACATTTTATATAGTTTAAATAAAATAACATACCCAATTACGATTAGAAAATTTAAAAAAAAAAATTTAATTGACTTTTTAATCAAGTTGTCCCTCAATTACAAGTCGATCCATTTAAATATTTTGCCAAAAGAAGAAGCTACAACAGCCTTTATTAATGTGTTTCGTATCTTATGTTACATTATATTTGATAAAATGCAAGCTAGTAGCCCGTAACGCCTTCAGCAAAGGTCCAGTTCTCTTCCACTTTGAAAGGTCCTTTAATGCTGCAATCGTTGGCAGTGCAAATGCCCACCGTGTATTGTGGGAGACTGCGCGTATCACGATAGTAAAGCACCTTCATTGCCTCGCGAATCTATAATACAAATACTCAATTAAAAAGTTTTGCGAAATAATGTAGTTTTTTCTCCTACCAGACTGGCTGCCTCCTCGAATGTAAATTCGCGATCCTTGGGCTTGCGCTCACGCACAAGCGGCAGAGACAAATGTCGCGCAAAGCCGGTTGCTACAACAAAATCATCGTACGCTCGTCCCCGCAAATCTACATTGCCCAGAAAAGGTTTGCCGACCTCATCGACACCAGCTACCACCACATCGATGTAAAGCGGATTCATGCGAGAGCGACGATTGTAGAGCACGCGTGTTAGCCAGCTGGACAATTCGGCTGGCTTCATGACAACGCCATCATTGCAGCACTGATCCTCGATCATCTTTTGATCAATGCTACGCTTAATTGACTGTATGTCAGCAAAGTCGCCACCGCCACCAAGTAAAATTTTACCGTTTATCTGGAAGACGCGGTTGATGTTCTGGTAACGAGCCAGCGAGCCATACGAGACGAGGGTGTCGGCCGCCACCAATACCCCGCCATCGAATCTAATGCCCAATACAGAGGAGCCAGTAGTTATAGCAGCGCTACAAATACCCCAGAATTTGAAATTTACTTATATCAGAGTTTAAATTCATTTCCTTACGTGCTGTGCTTCGTTCCATAGGGACCTGCGGTAGTTAATTCACGGGGCAACTGTGTTGGGGCGTTATTGCCGCCCATGAAGTTGTAAAATTGACCGGGCGAAGGTCCATTGAGCCACATTGGCTGCGCAAACGTATTGTTCATCATTCTAACTGCTGTAATTATAGTACTTTGAAATCAAATGGAAATAACAGCAAAAGCAATCCCAGAATGACAGGCACAAATACAATGCCGAACAGTTTTAGATAGCGACAAAATTAGTTAGCTTTACAGCACTGCAAGCCGTGTTCTCTGTGTATATCGATATACGCGACTATCGATACATGTGGCCAGCGTAGCCAATCGATGAGGCGGCAGGCAGCTCTATCACAATTCAGGCGTACAATTTGAAAATCCAAATCAAAAATTTTTCCGAAGCAAAGTAAAACACAATTTTGATTAAAAATACACGAAACCCTTTTTTATTTTCGATAGACAATACAAATATATATATATTTTTATTTAATGCACACCTTTTAGGGGAATGTTTTTCAATTTTGTTTGCATCTTACAGATCGCATAATACAGATGAATAGAATATCAAATACAGAGTATAGTTTACTATCTACTAAAAACCATTTAACATACTTTATATATATATATAATTTTTTAGAATTTTCAATAGTAAAATAGTCTACTTCATTACAATCTACTGTCACGGCCAATGTTCAATATCTTACTAAAATAAAGCTTTCCCAATTAAGTGCTAATCCTTGCAGCAACAATAAATATTGTCGCTTGAGCTAGCTGGCGTCGTAGGCGCACTTGCACCCGGCTTTTGTGGTTTACTATAGGAATGTGGACCACGCATGAAAACATCTATGAGTTGACAATGGGAACTGTAAGCGGATAAAAAAAGAGTTGAAAAGTGAGTTTAGATACATTTATATATCAAGTGTGTGCGCTTCTTGCCTCATTGTTATATCTAGATCGGTGACAACCTCTCCATCACAATTCCAGCTGGAATACTCCGAACTGGCCGCATCGTTGCCGTTTTGAGCAATTGGTTGACGAGAGCCGGCTAAGCTTAAGTTCTCCTCTGTTGCGGGCGCTGTGAACGTTCGAAAAATGAACTTACGTGTCCGGTAGACCTCGACAAAAGGTAAATTACGCTACAATATAAGTGTAGAAAATTATGTAAATTCTTTTTGTATAAATATATATTATAATCACTTACAATATCGCCGGCTCGGCCAGCCGTATTTAACAGGAACCGCACGTTGTTGATAAACGATGTTTTGCGTACCAGAATCAGATCCAAGCAGCCATCGCCCAAGTGACTGTAGCGCGAGATGCCATTGGGACTGCGTGCACAGGCACACGTGATGTTTGCGCCGCATATCAGAAAGAAATTGCCCCGTATTGTCTTCCACTGCAAGCCGCCGGGCAGGCTCATATTGGAACCATATGAACTACCAGGCTGCAAGGGCAGGCTAGCCGGACGCATCAACCGGGAGCGACACAAAGCTGTTTCGATTTCATTCAGCTGCTGTTCACAATTGGTGGCAACGATCACATCTGCATTTGGTTGCGATTGCGGCTGCGACTGCTGTTGCTCCACCAACTTATTCTGCTGTTCTGCATGTTGTGATTGCAAGTTCTCTTGACTATTCGCATCAGCGGTAAACAAGGTTGAACGCTGCTCCTGCAATGAGCTGGCAATGCTGCATCGCTGGCAATTGGCATAGCACACAGACGGCGGTTCGTCACAGAGACTGACCGGACTTTGCGGCGTTTCCGGCTCTGTGGGCTCCTCGAGCAGCTGCAGCTCCGCATCGTAGCCGCGATTGTTGAAGAAGGCCTTGATACCACTGTACTCATACCGTCGTGTGCCCATCCAACGATACTGCTCACTCTCGGCTGCCACATCGCCCAGATATCCATAACTCAGGACACTGGCACAGAAACGCAACAGTGTGCGATTGTTGCTCACGCTGCAGACGTCGAGGCCACGCCTCTGGCCGAGCAGCACATGAATGGCCGCAGTGCGCACATCCGCAGTGCCGTGCATGCTATAGACTATGGTGTCCGTGCTGCCAGCTGGTATGACAGCCACTGGCAAGCTAGGCCGTGGTATAAAGGCCGGACGCTGTTCATCCAAGCCCAGCTCACGCATGCGGCGAAAGACCAAACCGTTGATGACCTCTGCAACGGTGCCATCGCCTCCCACACAGCAGACAGCATCATAACAGCTCAGATCGTGGGTGAGCAGAATGTCCCGGATTTGATTGGCACGTTGCGTAGTTATGCAGGTGGCATCGATGCCCGCCAGCTGGAACAGTGGACGCACCAAACGTTCATAGGTCTGGGCGCCAGCCTTGCGGCCGCCGAATGGATTAATGAATACTAACAGGCGTTGCACACGCTGACCACCAACTGGCGAGGATGCGATGCGTGCCTGCAACTGGAGCTGCCACTGATACACAATGTACGCATCCGCATTGTAGAAGGTGAGCCGTCGCAACTGCCAGCGATTGCAATCCGTCTTGGATTTGCTCAAGCGTGCCGCATAGTTGATGGTCAGGAACTGTGCCGTCGGCTTTGTATCGCCATCCGCCTGCTGATGGTCACGATGATTCGTAGGCGGAGGCTGCATGCTGTCGTGTTTGGTATTGCCAGAACAGACGCTGATGATATCGTCCATGTGCAGAACATGGCTATGCGCGCCATAGCTACTGCATCTGGTCTCAACGCCTGTCAACTGCTGCTCGGGCAGCGGTATCTTTTGCGTTTCATTTGTTGGCTTGGCTACCGGGCGCTGCATGCGCTCCCATACCAAGTGGTGGCCATGGAGCAGCACACGATAGCTCTTTTTCTTCAATTGGAAGTTATTTAGCAGCACATCCGACGAGCACGCAGTGGCAGCCACGGAAGCGGCAGCGGCAGCAGCAGCTGTAGCAGCATACACATCTCCAGCTCCGCCAGATGTTGTCGTCTTGGCAAATTCTGTGCTCCCGCTCTGCGTCATCTTCGGATCACTTTGTCTCTGCAATACAATGAAGAGAAGAAGAAGAAAACAGGTTTACATTAGAATTGCGTACTCATTATAAACTCAAAAGAGACTGTGCCTTAGTGAATGCCGCACCATAAATCTCAGCTCCATTGTTTTTTTTCTTTTTATTTTTTTAATGAGTCCAAGTTTTGCAACTACAACTAACTGCACATATATTATATACACAATGTACATACATCAAAAGACCCAAAGACCTTTAGGCAAAGTTTAATAATAGAATTGCAATTACTTATGCTCGTTCACAGCGTACAAAAAGGGGCATGTTGGCATTCTTGTGCAAGCAGCAAAGGCAGAGTATATAGGGACTTTGGTGGCATGATGGGAACTCGAATACATGTCTATGTACATAAATAAATAGCATGACTAATTGCGAAATGAGCCATATAGCCAAGATTTTTAGAGCTTCGATCAACTACGGTAAGCTAGGGTAAAGCACCTTTAAATAGTCAAATTCTTATAAAAAAAAATTTGAGTTCTGTTCGAGCATTAGAGAATCCATTATTGCGATTCCAATGCTTTAACTTGTTATTTTTAACATAGGTTTGTTAATTTTTCGCTTAGGGTAATTGGATATTCAATATATATGGTCTCATATTATATGCATTTAAATAACTTTTTCATATTTCCATTGGTAACTGCAAAAGGCAATGATATCATATTCTGTGTGCCACGCACAACTAAAATCCCTCGGTTAATTTTAGTTCTTTTTTTATTGTTTTTGCCACGAATCATTGTTTTATTCTCAGACTTTGCGGCTGATAAGCAGCGAGCCGAATCAATATTATAAATTATATACTAATGTCCGAAATTACTGTTCGTAAAAAGAGAAATATAGATATAATTGCTTTACCCTCGTCATTTGTGTGGCCTTTTAAGCTGTGGAGAACTAAATTATCTAAGCTATCGATACGTGTTCAATGCGATAAGTCACAAAGGCGACAACAAGGCAAAATCAGAAAGCACATGTAGCTGTTATATATATATATATTTATTTGCCTAGCCTTTGTTGTTGCTAATTAAATAGACAAACACCTTTTAGTATACCTGTCTGGCTGTCTTCTACAGCGGAAGGGTGATCGACTAGGTGAATACCCAATGACTAAAGCACGTCATATTCGTAAGCAAAAACACATTTCTTATATATATATAAGGATATTTATATCTGCCGTCAATATTTGGTGGCATTTTAAGGGGCATCATAAAAAATAAAAATAAAATCAGAACACTCTCAATTCACATTTTATGACCCACACAATCCAAGCACGTTTTACGTGTCGTATGCGCAACGATCAAGGTTATCAGCGTCAACCAGAAATACTCTTTTATTTTTGTTGTTTTGTAGAATCACTCTGGAAGCTGCAGAGCAGCACCAAAAACAAAATTGTTGTTTCAAAACGAGTTACAGCTCTACACAGCTCCGCTCTTCTCTCCAATACTGTTCTCTGCTCTACGCTACTCAATTTTTTTTTTTGCTACACATTCCTATGGTCTTCTTTGATGTGGTTTGCTCTACTATTCCACTTTACTCGGCTCTCCCCTCCTGTGCTATACTCTACTCTACTGTCTGCTCCCCTCCTCCACATTACTTAATTCTACACTGCCCTTTTTTCCTATACTCTACTCTATTCTACTTTCCCCTCCACTCCTCTACACTACTCTATTCTACACTCGCCTCCACTCCACCCCACTTCTCTACTCTACTCTACACATCACTACTCTCTACTTTGGGCGCGCAGCTTTTTGACCTTCGCCTTGAATTGCAACAAGTTTTTTGTATACTCATTTTTGAACTCGACTCGCCTGAGCGTGTATTTGTATATGTATGTGTATGTGTGCGCACATATACATATAAGCTTACTAATGGTTGACTTGAAGGTCTTTCAAGTTTAAATTATAGCCGCATATGCATCTAGTCTTGTTCATGAAAATAAAAAACTGAAAACAAGGTGTCATGCAAATTGTAATTAAATTCTGCTTTATATATTTGCATTTCCGCGTGCCACTTGAGAAAGCTATACAAGTACAGCCTATAGTAATAAATAGTTAATAGATGAATTCCTACATACTAAATGATAAACACATTTACATGCAAATGTATGAATACTTCTTTATTTAATTGCAGTTTCCTCTCGTCTTGACTAAACTTTTCTCTAGCCTCAGGTATTTTATATACCACAACATAAATTGTTATGTGTTTATATTTTTACTTTTAATTGCAGCCAAAAATATATTACAATTTTAATGAAAAAGCGAAAAGCAAATACATAAAGAAATAAATAAAGGAGAATTCAGATAGTTTAATAACTAGTTCAATCTGCGAAATAAATGAGACCTTGAACTATTGCCAGTTAGCTGAAGTACGGTTATTATCTTATCATAGTTATCGTTAACACATTTTAACTATTGCAAGTTCTTTGTGAGCAGAACAAAACGAGAGTTTTGTTTAGATACATCTCAATTCATAGCTGGCTTCCTGTGCCGCACGCAACAACTGTTTACTCAGATAATATCTTAGCTAACGAGTTGTAAATACTATAATCGTATATATGCATGTGTATATATTAAAGCATTTGAAGCCCGTTTATATTTGTACTTTAGCACATTAATAACCTCTTTCACCTGGCTTTTAATGTGTATTTTAGCACAGCTCTGAAGGTGTATTATTTGTTATAATTTGCCCTCGTAAACAAAAACATTGAAGTTCTTCAGTACCTATTCTAAACCAGCTTACTTATCAACTGAAATACCACCGGACGGATCATATGGGCGATAAGATAAAACAGTTAATAAAGAAATGGAAACGAAGCAGATAAGTTCATCTTATTATTAATCAATCTATAATTGCTTATTTATAGATATTGTAACGGCTGAGAAATTTCCATAAAACCAAAAACAATGTGTATATATGTATATTCTAACAAACATGTGTTTTCCGTAAGTATGAGTCATATTTTATCACAACACTTTTAATGGAAGCTTTAAATATTAACAAATACTTTACGGTACTTTTGCCAACTTCGTAAGCTACATAGAGCTAGTAATAGACACAGAAAAAACAGAGCAGTTCAATCGATAAATTAACACCTATAAACTCATTTGAACTCGCAAGTTGACTCGTCTAATATATTTATAGCGCACGTAGTACAAACATATTTCAGGAGCTTAGCTAATTAGCTGCCACAAAATGCATTAAACAGCTACAACATATAGTAAAGAAATGTGCAAGCGAGATGGAAATATATCTGAACAACATACACAGCGTGTAGACAGCGAGTAGCAGAATGCAGAGAAACAATAACAAAAACATACGCACACATATAAATTACGCCAAGCACCGTTATCAGAATATAGCTGTGAGTAAGTACAACTGTATATATATAGATAGGATAGTTGTTGCACATGTATGCATGTACATACATGCATATTCTCAACTCGTTTTACGTACGCATTGTGTGCTTCCATTTCAATACACAAATATGCATGGATCTGTATATATATATACATATGTGTGTTTGGGTGTGTGGTTTTGAGTGTTCGTCAAGTTTATTTGGACTTATTCTGGTGCTGATTTTGTCCGCGGAAAAGCCGGCAGTTAGAGTTTAAATAGAACAAATTACCTTATATAAATAGAAAATATCCGTATATCCATGCAATCATCAGCAGTTGTCTTCTGCTATTTGCAGTTATTGGTTGGGAAATCAAGAAAATTCGATATGCATTGCAATTTTACACGCACACACATGAATACACAGCCAAAGCACACAGTATTAACGGTAGTTAGATAAGTGGTTTCTCAGTTGCAAGTGGATTATATACCTTAAACTGTACTCCATTCACTTCCACAACTGGCCTATTGAAAATGCAGCATTGTAAGGAAAGAGACAACAAAAATCCACAATCTCACTAGAATACAACACGAGCCGTTAAAAATGACGGAGCGCAGAACATGCTACCTACTCGGAAAAAGCAAACAAAATACTAGCAAGTGAAAAGCAGCAGCAGTGTGACCAGTGGTCGACAACTACAAAATACCAAAAAAAGCTTCTCAGAAAATGATATGACACTCACAAAACCATTTCACACCAACATTATGATTGTGATTTATTTGTAGTCTGGCAACGACAAAAACCGTTAACGTAGACAAACCCCGATTACTGAGTTACTTTTAGAATATATATTTTAAAGCCATCACACAAACTGAAACACTTTCGTATTTGAGTCACATATAATTATTCCCATTTTTTTATGCAATAGAACAAACTGTAAAAATTTCTGGTTTTTCTAACCCCACAATATGAGTAAGTAATTATTTAGTTGCGTGTTTTGTCTTTAGTTTGGTACCTATTTTTACAGGTTCTCCTTGTGGCAAGTGTAATACATGCTCTTGTTCTGGTCACACAAAACAGCCAGCGCAACAAGAACAACGTGGAAAGGCTTGTGGGCCTCAACCGCAGCCGCAGCAATATCAACAAGTACCTTGTCCCACACAACAACAATCGCAACAACCACAACAGCAACTGCAGCAGCAAACAAGAACTTGTCCGGCACATCAACAACAACAACAACAGCCACAACAACAACCACAAGTAAGAACTTGTCCAGCACAACAGCAAGCACAACACCAACAGTACCAACAGTACCAACAGCCCCAACAACCCCAACATCAACAACAGATAACTTGTACAAACCAGCAACAACTACAACCACTAAATTATCCGTCAAACCAACAACAACAACCACAACAGCAGCCAAACTGTCAGGTACAACAACAACAACCACAAGCATCAAAACCATGTCCGCAAACTGAAAAGAGAAATAGAGTTGAATGCCGCTGTGCACCCAGCAGAGATCGACGAACCGTACCTGTGCAGGCGCCATTGGCTGATACATACACTTGCCTGCGACCACGTACTCAACCCACCACTACTAATCAACCGATATGTACATGCAAGCAAATGTCAGCCCCGGCCACATGCGAATGTGCTCCGCCTTCCGCACCGCCAGTGCCACCGCCAGTGACCTGTAATTCGGGAGCTCCGCCGACGCATGCATACATTGCTTGTGGCACACCCACTAACACTCGACGATCAGAGAACCCATGCTCGGGAGCTGTAGAAGAAGTTGTGGTGCCGCAATATAAAAGAGATGAAACGAAGCAAAAGCGCCAAACATGTAGCCATTGCCAATCACAGGCTAAACAAAAGAAGAAATGTATTATACAATAAGAAAAGCACAATTCGGCACAACATAGTAGGCTGAACAGGATCGGTCAGAGATATGAGTAATACAAATATTTTTCCTACACTTTCAACTATTTGGGTACAATTTACATTTTCAGTCAAAATTCTATAAAAAGTAACAAAATTTAAAATTTTTAGTACGAAAACGTTCAAAATTAAGTTAAATACGTAGCAACGCTAATTGGATCAGAAAAGAAGCAATAATGTCCTGTAATGCGCCTAACATTCCAAAAACGAATGGTTGCTGTTGCTCGCCAAGCGTCGCACGCATGGATCCTCCGGCGTTACCATGCGGCGTGCTAAACCAAGAGTGTACTATAAGGACTGGAGGTCAGGCTTCCTACAGAACGCCACCGAACCAGGGAATGTGCAGTCATTGCAAGGGAAAGATGCACCGCAAGAAGTGTTGCACCATTCAATAAACTAAAGGCAAGAAAAGCCTTTTCAGAATTTACAGAATTTTCAGAGTGTTAAAGTCAAAGTTGATCAAAGTTGGCTTTAAAGGATGACATCAGCATTTTTAGTTGTTCAAAATTTTCATTCCAAAATTCAATTCGTTTGAAGAACATCTTAGTTTCAAATGTAACTGTTTGGAAAAACAACCAAAATTAAAAAAAAAAAAATTGGAAGCTGTTTTCCGATTTCAAAACTAAAATCAGAATGTCCAACCCGTGTGATACAACTGGAAGTCCCGGATCAGGTATGAGGCCGCAATGTGATTGCCGTCCACCAGAACTTCCGCAAACATGTACTCCGTGCGCACCGCAACCAGAGATCATAAGAGTTCCTTGCTGCCCTGCACCTGTTGCCCAACTACCAGAAAATACATATTACCGTTGCGACCATCCACCGAGGCCACAAAAGAATAGGAAATGCAGCATACAATAATTAAAGCTGCCAAATATTGAACAGAGCATAAACAAAAAGCAGAAAAAAAAAAACAAGAAAAATCAACAATAATCAGCATAGCAGGCGTTACAAATGGAAAGAAAAAATAAAACAAAAGCATCAACATGGTGGCAGCTTCTAAATTTTGACATTCAAAGTTATCAAAATTTTCTGTTTTTCTGCCATCCATCTTGAACCATTTGAATGCTGATGGGCAAGTGTAATTGAATTCAATTTTTGATTTAATATTTTCCAAAGTAAAATTTGTAGTTTTCTATTCGAAGAATATACGAAATTCAATTCAAAATGTATATAAATGGAAATAGAATTATCAATTGATACACATTTGATGGATTTCCTTATTTAGCAACATTTAGCGGATTTCGATTTAAATAGCCACCATCTTGAACCAAATGTGATTGCTGATGGGCAAGTGAATCGATATTTTTGTTGCATGTTATCGATATAATTCTTTCGTTTCATGTAGGCAACCAACCGATGAACGGCGCAACACGGCGGAAATTTGTAAACTGTCCCCGTCGTCAGAGAACTCAGTTGCCCAATGAAGTTTTGGAAGGGAGTTGCAGGGATATGAGTAATCGACGCAACCGGCTCTGTTTTGTCGTTCGCAGTCCACCAATTGCTAAACTTCGACCAGAGCCATACGGCAAAAGACATTATTCAAATAATGAATGTAAATGTTCTAATTCGCAACTCCAGCCAGAACCAACACTGCGGCGCCCATGTCGACTAACACCATCTGTCAGCTCATCCGAATCCAGTTGTTCGTCAGTGCAGCCTACAGTATCATGTTGTTGTTCAACGCGGCAGCCAATACCAGAACAACAGGAGATCTGTACGCCTAGGCAGCGGATGACTAAACCAAAAAGATCCCGAAGTCAGCTAGAGGCCGCACTGCCTTATACTCGGCCCCCTGATAATTTTGCACCTGTCATGCAATGCGTGAACGCGCCTATTGACGAACCAATTGACCCATACTACAATTATGATCGTAATCACCAAACCGCAATTCCAGGAGTGGATCCGATGGCTAACTTTGATTTAAACAGATACGATCGTGATAATGTTGGTCAAGCTGGAACTTCAAGTCGTCGGAGAAATGTCAGTATTCGCACATGCGTCGATTACGATTATGAGCCAAGATATCCAACGTATTCAAGTCACCCGCCACCTTCTAATTGGCACCAGCCATACCCTCAGCTCATGCCAACACAACGGTATAGATCAATCCCACCTGATGAATATTACCGCGACTATGAATATGGGGTGCATTGTCGACGTCCGCAACGTAGGTAGGCTATCCATATTTAAAAATTTCAAAAATACCAAAAAAAAATGCAATACTGCTAATGGAGTCTATCGGAATGTTATCGGGAAACCACCACTATCGAGATATTCACAAAACAACAAGAGCACCGAAGCGTGTTTGGTTGAAAATTTGACAAGTCAAAAATCTTGTAAAGACTAAAAAGGAATAATGGATGATGGTGAATATGATAACGATGAGTACGTATAAAATCTTACATGTCGGCGTTTTCTTAATTTACCATGTACGGCATTTAACTTGCAGCGTCGGCGGCGATGATTTCGATGAAGTCGATGAAGATGTAGACGAGGATATTGCTCAAGAGGAAGAAGTTGATAATATCGAAATAATTGCGCCCGGTGGCGCAGCTGGCGGTGGTGTACCCAAATCCAAACGCATCACAACCAAGTATATGACGAAATATGAGCGCGCTCGTGTTCTAGGCACGCGGGCACTACAGATTGCAATGTGTGCACCCATAATGGTTGAATTGGATGGCGAAACAGATCCTTTGCAAATTGCAATGAAAGAACTAAAACAGAAGAAAATACCAATTATAATAAGACGGTTTCTGCCAGATCATTCATACGAGGATTGGAGTATAGACGAACTTATCATGGTAGATAACTAGTGTGGTTAGACGTACGAAATTTGAATATATTACACACATTTTATTTTCCGAGAATATAGATTATTTATAGCTGCCTAAAAAAATGTTTTGGTAATTTAAGTCAGCTCCATGCATATCCCTCCCCTTGCTGATAACAGACACGCTCAAGTAACCCAACAGCATTATGACCTGTCCGACATATGGAGCCCACGACAGCAGGCAGTAGACCGCAGTCCGATAGATTTTGCTCTCCAAAAACCTGGCCGCAGCCGGTATCGCTCTTCTCAGCTTCCTTCGATTCCGCAGGTGTTGTGGTCTCCAGCAGTTTCTGGGTCGCTTTGCTAAAAGAGAGGGTATTAATACTACTAGCGAGCGTGGCGCTGAATGTGTGGCGTGTCTCGCAAAGCAGCATCGCAACGCTTGGCAGGAATGTGGGCAACAGCAATCCTTTGATATCAATGCTGTAGTAGTCTGTGCCATCAAGTCGTACTTTCTTGGAGCGTGGCACCAAGTGCTGCATCGTAGCTTTAGGAAATGCAACAGGAGCCAGAAGCGTGGGTGGTACTCCAGCCAGGCGGCCAACGCTGGTGATGGTGCTTTTTGCATTAAGCAGATAACTGAAGAACCCTTGACACTCGACACCTTCAATTAGCAGCAGAGAGTTATCACTAAAATCCTCGCTCATTTCGGCTGCCTTCAACTTCCTTGCATGTGTCGTTTGTATGCGCCGTAACTCGCGTTCATCTACGCCCAAACTCTCTAACCAAGCATCATCATCATCTTCTTCATCGGAAATCTGTTGAATATCTTTGGCCTGGCCATTAGCTAGACCTGTTCCATTATCGCTATTGTTTGCCTCGTTCTCTTCTATAAAGCTGCTATTCGAGGCTCCGCCTTCTCCAACATCCTGTTGCTGCTTCAATGGCATACTGTACTCAATCCCCTCTTGCTGAAGTGCGCTACGCATGCCACGAGTAGATGGAGTAACCAAGGCATGTGTTTCTGGTCGCCCACCGGTACCAGCTGCTCGAAAGAGCACCGTAAAGGAATTGGCACACAAATAAAAGTACGGACACTGACGTGCACGAAGCAGCTGAAATAATCCTCGAAAACTGTAGTCCCACTCTTCGGCCAAAGCTTTGCGCTCGCGTTCGCCAATTGTGATGCCATTATTCTCCTTAGCATTGCGTGGGAAAAGCGTCAGCCAAGGCAGATGTGGATGCTGCCAATAGTAGGTGCATTGATTGAATCGAGTTGCATCTGATATATCCAGAGTACTCTCCGTCTGGTTAGTGTCGAAGCAACGCACAAAACTGGTCAGCCCGCTGGCCAGCTGTGAAGTTTTAAGTTGTGTGGCGGGCAGATCAGTTGGGCAAAAGAAGCGCACACGCGTCTTAAGGCACCAATCCATTGGCAGATGTGGCGTATGCTTCTGCCGAGCAGCCAATGCGGCATCCTCTTCCTCATCGGCTTGTGTGGCCTTAGCTTGATGCAGCAGTTTAGCAAATGCTTGAACATCGAATTTCTGCAATGTTAACTTTGCTGGTGGCGGACGCGTGGATGTCAAACATGCTAAATTATTGGTGGTTGCGTTTTTAGATACGGATACAGTTGCCTCTTGTGGTTGTTCATCGATCTTTTGTTTCTTGGCGCCATCTTTGGATCTGTAGATGTCATTACATTTGACTGAACAGCTGATTAAACTACAATACGTACTTGGCAAATGGATTATTGCGCTTTTGAGCTATCTTGGCTTCCAGTAACTTGCATTTATCATTCTCATCCAATTCTAGCCGCTTATTATTGTTGTTGCTGCTCAAACGTGCCGCAAGTTGTTTCTTCTTCTGCTTTAGTCTTTGCAATTTTATAAACTGAAAAAACCAACATATTTAATAAGTTGTGTTATGCTGTTTAGAGCAAATTCTAATACATCATCGGGTCGTGTCCATTTGGAGCTCAAGATCCCTTCGCTGGACATGACTGGAGTTTAAGATAATTATTTTACAACCAACATTGACAGAAGTCCCGCGTAAAATCTTGTTTGTTGTTGTTTTGGTGCATTTTTGTGATTTTGTCGAATTGTTAATACTTATCGATAAGTTTTATTCAGGCTTGCAATAATCAATAATTTTGTGACCATCTCTAATCTGCAAAAAATACATGTGTTTTGTTTATGGTAATTAAAGATATCTTTAGCAAATACCTATCTTATTTCTCAAATTAACTATAAACTGTCTTAAGAAAAAATATAGCTATATTTTTATAAACAAAAATAATAATTCAAATTTTTTCAAATATTAACAGCAGTAACGGCAATATTTTCTGGCAACACTGAATGTGGTCACTGTTAATATCAGCTTAGCAAACTGTTATGTTTACACAGAAGCAGCCCTTAAAAACGCAAAATCACAAATCAGAAACGTAAACAATTTGGATATTTTGCCAAAATGGATAGCTTACACGATGTTTGCCGTGTGTGTGCAAATAAAATAAAGGACAAGAAGCGTCAGCAGCATATATTCAACTATTTACGAGGCAAATTACTCCAAAATCTGAAACTAATTACCGGAGTCGAAGTAAGTTAACTCTGAATTTGTCGGCATGTGTTTCAAAATAAATGGTATATGTTTGTTATAGCTATTTCCGAATGAAGGCTTACCAAAATATATTTGCGATCGCTGCGGCAATGAGCTGGACTTGGCCATTAAGTTTCGGGAGCGCTGTATCTTTTCGCAAAAGTATCTCAACGAAATGCATGCAAAGATACACAACAAGTCGGTAGTCTCAACGGCTGAACGAGAGCTGCACGAAGATTTGATCGATGAGGAGCAGTTGGAATACATTGATGAAGAAGTGCAAATTTTAGAAGATAATTATGAAATTCCTCAGGATGACGTTACCGAAGAGTTGGTTGATGAAGAATTTGTGGAGGAAACTGACGATGCTGAAGAAGAGGATACAGAGGAGCAAATGAATAAAGAGAAAAGGCATTGGGTACTTCTGGAAGACAACCGTCCTACTAAAAGACTGAGAAACTTTTTTATATGTGAAGAGTGTGGCGAGTATTTCAACGACGAGGACGAATACAATGAGCATGCCAAGGGACATGTGCAACATAAGGAATCCAAACGTTTCTTTCCTTGCTACAAGTGTCCGGCAAATTTTAATACTAAAATAGCCTTAAAACTTCATCGACAAGAGCAGCATTCCGGCGATAGGCTTTTCAAATGTTCCACGTGTGGCGAAACCTTTCTGCAGCACAGCGCCAAACAACGACATGAGAAGTAAGTGCTTAGTCTATCTATAAAGCCATTGATAAACAAATTGTTAATCTATGACAGAGCGCACATCAATGAGAGACCATATCCCTGCTTAGAATGCGACAAGTTCTTCAAAAGTGTGTCCGAGCTAAGCGCGCATTCCGCAAGTCACGATATAAGGAAATTTAGGTAAGACAGTCATAGGGATTATACTTTTATACTTAAGTACTATATTCTCTTCTACTGGCAGATGCGAACCGTGCAACATGGACTTCACAACGCGCATGAATCTCGTGGCACACTCAAATACATATCCACATAAAAGAACTATGCAGCAAATGCAGGACGAGATTAATCTGCTGTATGGCGAAAACCAGGATCTAGCGGAGATTAATTAATCAATAGTAATTAGTATTAAATATAATTTAAATTGCCATTTAGTATGCTGGTGAATGTGAACAGACATTAACAGAAGCTTTGTCTAACATTACATAAATACAAGAGCTTTCAATAACTAAAACTTGCGCCTGCGCCTGGGTGGGGTAGACAATATTCCATATGCCTAAACGACTCTATATATGCGGGAATAGAAAAGCATATTGTGTGTATTCCGTGTATTCAACTGGTTGTTAGCACATCGGCGGGCAACATCAGCGTTCTAGAGGTTTATACGAATCATATACAGCTGGTGCAGTCGAAAAATCAATAAGACTTACAAGCTTGTACGTAAGCAAAGATAACAGCTCGACAAATACGCAATATGCTGGCCCAGCCGAAAGGTATTTGGTGAAAATGTTTATATATCTTAAAGAATATACATATTCAACTATATATATACATATATATATATAAATATATATATTACAGCTTTTAGCATGCTGCTTAGCTGCTTCTTCTTGATAATGGGCAGACTTCAGGTGTACGCATTTGACTCCAAGGATAGCATCTTTGCTGATGTTCTCTTGACCGAGTTATTGAATCGCATGGATAATGACATGCAGGTGGGTTACTATGATGTGGACAATGAGGCTGACTTAGGAGGGGCGGCTGCTGCTGCAGCTGGCGTCGGCAAAGATAATGTGGATCTGGTGTCACGCTCCGAATACGCTAGACTTTGTAATGGCGGCAGCGATTGCTTGCTGCAGTCAGCCAATACCAATCCCTCGTTACGCGATCAAGAGTTTCTGCAGCACAGCTCGCTTTGGGGACATCAGTACGTGTCCGGCGGCATGAGTGAGATGCCCAATCGCTACAATACGATGGTAAAGACCGATGCCAGCCTGCCAGCCTACTGTAATCCGCCCAATCCCTGCCCCGAGGGCTACGACATGGAGCAGCAGGGCGGCAATTGCATCAGCGACTTCGAGAATACGGCCATCTACAGTCGCGAATTCCAGGCTGCACAGGACTGCACTTGCGACAGCGAGCATATGTTCGATTGCGCCGATCAGGATAACGCCGCAGGCGCAGGACCAGGCAATAGCGATATGAATTCGGCTGTGGAGAAATTCCTGTTGCATCAGTTTGGCAACGAAAATGTATTGGACAATGCCAATGGCGTGGTCAAGAAGGCTGGCCATTTGTCTGGCCTACGCATGGATGCCATGCCCAATCCTTTCCTGCAGGTCGGTCCCGACGATCGTCTACCAATTGCTGCCAAAAAGGGCAACATGCTTTTCCACTAAGCAGGCCTCAAGGAACCAAATATATATTTATGCTTTTACTGTTTGGACACATCCATAGACGGTGTTTGTCCATAATAACTTATCATAGTTGTTTCTAAATGTTGTCTCATATGCGTATATAGAGCTCATGGCAGCTTCCAAGGTACCAAATAGAAAATTTAATCAAAAATAAATTATGGCTTGAAGCCAACTAAAAAAGACACAATAAAATCACTTCATGTATTCGCATATATTTGACAATAATTGATTTTATTTTAATAACTACTATATAGCAAGATTCATGTGTATATTATAAATAGGTTTTCCAATCCAGCTTTACAATGAGTATTATCTGTCAGCATTCACTGGTATTGTGTGTTTAAGTAGACAAACCCAACTTTAGTGGGCGCCATCATCACAATTTCTTAAACCTAACCTAACAAATTGTATAGTATAAAATATATATACATATATATATATATGAAGACTGTGAATTATGCATAAGCAAACAATTCACTATTCGATAAGAACAACTGGCAGTGTGATTAGCTTAGCATAATATTCGTTGTGTATATAACAGGGCTCCAGCCATGTCCTTTACATATAGATTCATACATACATACACAAATATACATACATACATATACGTATAGAGAGTTATACAGGTAAACAAAATACGTCTCTGACTATAAACTCCAATTCGATGCTTGAGATTCAGAAAAGTCGCGTCATTTGTTCATAGAATTGCTAACTTAAGAACTAATAATCTGAATAGATTCCATAATTGTCTGATATGTAGTTTACAAACGTCCCGTACTATTCCCATTGACATTTTGACCCCACGACACTTGATGGGGATTACGGGTAGTCAAGCGCAGGGAGTTGCCATCGCCATCCTCATCGATGACATGCTCATAGCCCTGATTGATAGTTCCGCCGCCATTCGAGCCGTAAATTTGCTGCGAAGAAGGTAAATTGAATATAGTGTATAGTATAAGTGTATATAAGGACACTTCGGTCGGGTATAACCGACTACATCTTTCGCATAATTTTCAGAAAAATATTTCAACAAATTGAAAAATAACTAAATCGATCAGAGAAGGAAGTTCAAATAAAAGCAAATGATTTACCAATATTATTCGATATAGCTTTAAGCAAGACACTTGACCTTCTTTTAATGACTTCCACTGTGAAAACATAATATAACTTCAAAGTAAAGTACTATCTTGAGATATTTAACTTCTACTCTAGCTTTAAGAACTTTAAATAACTTTCATACGTCTAGGCCCTTTAGTTGAACTGTTTTTTAGTATTCAACTTAAATTCTTTTGCTAATAATAATTCAGACATTGCACAAAACAAATATACCCTTAAAAGTTTGCGAACGAGCATTAGAGCTATTAACTTTCGTTTCTGCAACTCACCTCTCCTGGCCCACCATTCACATTGAAGACGTCCTTGATGCTGATGCCAGCGTTGGACACGCGTCCGCTTCGCGGAATGGGCAGAGCACCATTGTTGTTGACCTGTACGAAAGCAAGCTCATTATAGTGGCAGAGGATATTAGAGAGTTCGCTGTATACTCACTGCCGGTACTGTGGTGATTCCGTACTCGTTTTTGGCGCCCAACGTTTGCATTGCCGACTTCCGGCGTTCCGCCATCACGGAATTCTTTCTCACCTCCAAGGCGCGTATTGTCTCCGCTCTCATGGTGAGGCGGCGTGTCAGAATGGGCGTGGCTGGATTATTCTCAGCATCGGCGGTTAGCTTAAGGAAGCGCTTCTTAAATGCCACATCCAAGGTGCCGATTTGACGCCGCGGCTGTCGAGCTTTCTCCAAATTTTGAATTGTTTTGCGTCTGGCTATGCGATCGGGCCCCGATCCAGAATCATTGTCGTAGTCCCCATCAATGCCTTGCAAGCGTTGCAGATTCTTAACTATTTCCACAGCATGCTAAAGTATGAGGATTTTAGTAAAAGATATATACGTATTTGTGTAAATATATATACCTTGTCTATGAGCTGATCTTGCGTTAGATCCTCCGACTTCTTTTTGCAGAAATTCAACTCCGTGGAGGCCAAGATATGAGAGAGTGTACCGAAACGATGGAACAACATGGCCGTAAACTGTATAACCAAAATCAAGGCAAAGAAGAAGACAAAGACAAGACCGATCGGCTCCAGCTGCAGATACTCCTTGGAAATGTGCACCTGTATGAGGAAATTCGTAATTCTATTAGCACACAAGTCTATAGCTGTATCAACTGAATTGTTAGTAACATTGAACAATGAATTGATTGAACGATTCTTCGATTGGATAAATGGCAGAACATAGTACCAAATTGTCGGTGATGGGGCTATGTTTTATGTGTGATACCATATATAAGTGTGTTATAGATATTCCTGTATGCATATCTATATGCTGATGTCTATACATTGAGGCTAATATATTATTGTAATTGTTTTTGTTTTTTAGAGCTTATGGCACATTAGAAACTGGAGCGTTGGTATGATATAGTATTTGTTGTTTTTGTTGCTGTTGTTGTTGTTGTTGGTGATGTACCAAAACCATTAGGATGGGTTTTTTTCGTTGAAATAAACAGGAAGTAAATTCAGGAATGCCTTGTAAACATATGGAATAATAGGTTCATACATATATAACATTAGAAACAATCATTGGGTAAGTATATATATGTGTAAGGAGCACATTAAAACGTATATATAGTGTGTGAGAGAGAGAGAGAGAGAGAGAAAGAGAGCGAGCGAGCCGTAGGAAGTTAGAGGTCCGTTCAAAAGGTTTTTCGTTTTAGATAAGATACACAAACAAAACAGTGTTAAACAAAAGTTTGATTGTTATTGGATTTAAAAACCTCAGATGTCTCTTCGATATACGTAATGTTGGTTTTGACGCCCAACGGCCATATAATATGCAATTTATCCTTATTCAGTTGCAATAAGAAGACAATCAATACGAATAAGGCGTTGGCCATAAAAAACGCAAAGACCGACTTATTCCGCAGCTCAATCAGATCGGAGGCAATGCGGGCCTGTGATCACACACAGTTATACAACAGATATATATAGAGAGAGAAAACAAAAAAAAAGAGAAACTGTTAGTGGTGCTTGTAAGTGACTCAATTACCTCCTGGGTAGACTCGTCGTAGGTAATATTCGTGCGCACGCCGAAGGGCCATTTGACGTGAATGTTGTCCTTGTTCAATTGCAGCAGGAACACGATCAACACGAACAGGGCATTGATCATGAAGAACGCAAATACCGATGAGTCGCGCAGCTCTTTCAGGTCTTTAGCTATACGGGCCTAAAATTATTTTATCGGCAGGTGTTGCAGGTGGCATAAAACTTTCACGAACTTCACCTGGTAGTTAAAACTAACTAAAACTAATAGTTGGCTTACCTGCTCCACGGGATCATTGTCAATGGGATATAAGTACTGATCGATCAGATCCTTCCAGAACTGGATTTCCGAACTGGATAAAAAGTCCACCTCACCCTTGCGCACATCCGGATCCTCGATCCAATAGGGATTCGTCAGGAAGTCACGTTCCTGCTTGGGCTCTGCTGAAGTATCTGAATCCGATTCATCCGATTCGTCTCCCGATTTCTCAGCCACCGACGTTAGCAAATGATGATCCTTCGAGCCACTGGACGTGGTGCGACGTCTATTGTGACGTGAGGCATGATGCCCATGCGGATCCACAGCGTTCTCGATGGTATCCATTCGTGTTTTGATTGTATCCAGAGACTCGGCTATGCTCGTTAGCTGCTGCTTCTCGTCGGATGTCTTGCCGTGTGTGCAAAACACGCAACGGAATAGACCAGCCAGAGAGAACTCAATGGAGCCCTCCTCGTCGTCATTGTCGCCTATGCCACTTTGCAAGAAGCCCAACATGCTCTTCTGCTTCACTCTTTTTTTGGCCTCCTCGGCGGCCTTCTTTTCCGCTTCCAGCTCTTTCTTGGTCTTCTTGGCAACCACCTCACGGGTGCCCCAGGAGACAACATTCAGATTGATGATAGAGTACAGAATCAACAGGAGGTACATAGACGGTATGGATAGCAAATATATTAGGCCGCATGTAATACACCAAAATTCTTGCGGATGCAAACATGCGGCTATGAAGAATGACCCCACCATCGATATCAAAAAGATGGCCGAGGGCGAGCCTATGCCGTCCTCGCCCAGCTGCAGGGCCGTACCCACTATCACAGCCATCATGATCAGAGCATAGCAGGTGGACAATACCTGAGCCACAAACAGTTGTATGTTGGACTTGCAGGTGAAGCAGATAACCATGAAGGCCAGAATGGGCACGATGTTGTAATGGAACGAGGTCCAATTGTCAATGCGAAAAGCGGCCACGAAAGCACCCACCAACATAAGAAAGATCGTGCCAGGTCCTAAAATGGTGCCACCCATCAACATCATCTGATAGAAAACGTACAGCAACGAGATGTTATCGTTGATCTTGATTGTGCGCTTCGCATCTCCAAGCAGATCCATAATGTTGGCTATAGTCGAGGGCACCCAACGACGCCGCTGATTGTAGAACTCGTTGAAGCCCTCGGGACAATGCGTATAGGCATCCGAGGCAGCCGAGTACTCTACGCGATATCCACGCTGCAGCAGCAAAGTGCACAGCCAACGATCCTCGCCCTGATCGTACTGCACATAGTGACGCGCCTCGGTTGGTTTCGTTGTATACTTCTTCATCACATTATCATCCATCAGTGCCTTGCCACGGAACAGTGAGAAGCAGCCGGGTGAACAGAGCACACAGCCAATCATGTGCTCCGTTGCCTTCTGCAGCCAATGGCCAATGGCATATTCGAAGAGCTGATACCACACCATGGGTCCGGAGCCCACAGGATGAATGCGTCCACAGGCGGCGCCCAGATTACGATTCTTCTTCATCAAATCGACCAGCAGGGTAACAGCATTCGGCTTGAAATCAATATCCCCATCAAGGGTGAGCAGATAGGTATTTTCGGCAATTGCATCCTTGCGATCCACTGAGATGGGCAGCTCCATTAGTCGATGGCCAAGCAGATAGTACATGTACATGACCTGGGACCAGCGCTTGCGATGACGAATGCGATCCTTATCTTTCAGATGTGCTATGAACTTCGTTTTGCCCGGCAATGTCCAGACCAATCGACCGCCATAGGGAGTTGGATATTTCTTGGGCGGACGCAACCTAATCGTTGTCTGATGTATCTCCGAGGCAG